CCTTATTAGTGCAATGTAGGGAATACTATGCGGACGATTCAGGCCCACTGCCTGAAGAGGCGAGGTCGAAGCTCCGTCCGTGCACGCTGAGGGCGCCTTGGCGTTGCTTTAACACCGGTGCTTGAATGGCTGAATCTAGAGCCCATTAGGGTCTAGGGTTTAGGGTTTAGGATTTAGGGTTTAAGGTTTAGGGTTTAGGGCTACTCTATATGTGGGTTTACTAAAATTGACCCCCAAATAGTAAGGACTCCTTGACAATCAGCACCCCAATAAGGCACCCCCGATTTTCGAAAACCTCCAGATAGAGCCCACGCATGGGGCTGAAAAGGAGCCTTGAAGGCTTGGGAGGGTTTAGGGTTTAGGGTTTAGGGTTTAGGGTTTAGGGTTTAGGGTTTAGGGTTTAGGGTTTAGGGTTTAGGGTTCTCAGCCTAGGGTTTCGGGTTTAGGGTTCAGGGTTTAGGGTCTAGGGTTCCTACATGCGAGACCTCCTAACCATTCCTGTACTTAGCTTCTTCGCTCATAGCGATGTGTCGCCCTAAACCCTACACCCTACATCCTAAAGAGCAGCGAACGGCCCCCTGCGAACGGCGCCCTGCGAACGGCGCCCTGAGAACCCCACCGACGTGCAAACCTGCCCAGCGAGGGTTGGGAATGAAGGAATCTGAGTTCCGGGTTTAGGTTTGAGGGAGGCTTTCAAAAGACTTCGGGCGTTAGGCTAATCATTGGGTCTCTGTGGCTCCTCGCTTCAGTGCCAGAGCTCAGGGGCTCGGGGCTGAGGGTTCAGGGTTAGTGTTGACAAGAAGCAGGCAGAGTGCAAGCCAGCGCGGGGTCTACGTGCCGTGCTTGCTTCTGGTGGTCCAGGTCAGGACAGGACCTAGCCACACAAACTGCCTGGATAGGCTCCGAAAATACGACCTCCACCCGGTCTGATGATTCTAGCCCCTTTCTGGAGATTACTGCAACAGGGATTACCGTATTTTTATTTACATTTGTTTTTTTTTGGGGGTGTATATTAGAGGAAATCCTCATTCAGTGCAGCCACCTCAACACTCATCTGCAAAGCCCACGTGAATCTTGCGCACGCCAAATTGCAAACCCTTTGGAACCGCGATTCCCTGAGCCCGAAACCCAGGCCCTGAACCCTAAACCCTAAAACCTAAACCCCCTAAACCCTGAGCCCTAAACCCTAACCCCTAAACTCTAAACCCTCGGCCCACCTTTGGCATCGTGGCGAATACTCACTCCGCTCGCGCCATCGAGTTGCGGCGAGCCACTGTGGTGCAGGGCAGGGTAAGGTCGTCTGTGTGGGGCCCATCCCTCAACCCTAAACCTTGGACTCCAAACCCTAAAGCCTAAACCGTAAACCCCCAACCCTCAACCCTAAACCCTCAACCTAAACCCTAAACCCTAAACCCTAAACCCTAAACCCTAAACCCTAAACCCTAAACCCTAAACCCTAAACCCTAAACCCTAAACCCAGGGAGTTTCAGGCGCAGGAATACTCGAAGTTTCAGGAGGAGGGTGCAGCCGTAGTGCAGACCAGGACGAAAACTGGGGAGCTCGCACCTCTGTACGTTTCCCTACCGAAGCTGCAAAAACAAGCTCAACCCCTAAACCCTAAACCCTAAACCCTAAACCCTAAACCCTAAACCCTAAACCCGAAACCCCACCCCTAAACGCCAAAACCCTGAAACCCTAAACCCTACACCCTAAACCCCAACCCCTGAACGCCAAAACCCTGAAACCTAAACATCATGAAGCGTAGGGCGCTCAGGGGAATTTCAGGTCTGGGGTTTCGGCAAGGTTGATTCTGCGCACGTGCTGCCCTACACTAAGAGTGGAAAACCATTAACCCTGAACCCTAAACCCCAAACCCCAAACCCATTCCCTCAAACCCTCATACGCACTCCGGCTTCGGAATATACCTTCCCAACTACGTTGGGCACATGAACACCTGACAAGCTGCGCGAGCTGCTCTCAAGTTGTCCAGAGAGCCCAATACCCCCTTAATTCAGGAGAATCATACGCCTAAACCCTAAATCCTAAACCCTCAACCCCCTTAATTACCTTAAATCATACTAAGAATCTTGGGATGTTCCCCCTTATACTAACAGTCCTTAATAGGGATTATAGTACGCCTTACTATAATCCCTACTAAGGACTTTTAGCAGAAGGGGGGAACATCCCAATAAGAATCCTTTTATAATTTCAGGTATGTTCTGTATTTAAGGGGTATTGGGTTCGTTGGGTATCGCCTGAAAGGAAACGCAGGCACGGCGGTGGCAGTCTCAACCTCGGGCAAAGGCATGGTGCAGTTTAGGGCTTAGGGTTTGGGGTTTAGGGTTTGGGGTTTAGGGTTTGGGGTTTAGGGTTTAGGGTTTGGGGTTTAGGGTGGTTCTAGCAGGGAGGAGGACGCACTACTCTGTTCAAACCTCAAGCGGGGGTGGGGGGGTGGACTGTAAGTTAAAGTATTTGGGCGAGACTTCCGGGCCTCTACTCTCTTTCATGTGCAGCTCGCGCCATTGGAATTCTCGGGATTGCTGGAGCCCATGTGCAACCCCTCCCAAGGGACTGAGGACCCTTTTCCGCATCCATGCCTAGACCTGAAAATTCAAAACCCCACAGCCCTGAAGCCTCCCAAAAACCGCTAAACCTCGACATCCTAAAACTCTGACCCGCGCCCTGAAGCCCTTTAACCAAAAGCAGATCCTCAAACCCTACCCGGAATCCTGAACCCACACCCTCCTAGTGGCTGAACTTGACAGAGGCATTTTAGACTTTCCGAACTTCGGGCTCCTAACCCTAAGCCCTGAGCTGAGGGTTTCGGGGGAAAGGCCCCCGATCCCCCCAACACATATATATATATATACACACACACATATATAAGCCTACACCAAAACCCTTACAAGCCTTTGTGAACCCATGAAAACCCCGTTATCGCGCCTTAGAAAGCCTTGTTAAGTCCTTCTGAACCCTCCGCCCCAAAACCTGTGAAACTTGGGTCGTAGCAGCCCAGTAACCATGTTATAAGAAGGGTACCTTGTTTTGGTTTGCTAGTTTGCAAGGAGACCCAGAACCCAAAAAAGGGTAAAGGGTACCACTGGGCTGGCAAAGGGTTGAGGGAAGGGTGGTCCCAGGCAACCCGCCTCCGTGGCCGTGGAGGCCAGGGTGGTTGTGAAGAGCAGGCCCTTGCCCTGGCTTGGGTTTAAGGTTTTGGGTTTAGGGTTTAGGGCTTAGGGCTTAGGGCTTAAGGCTTAGGGTTTAGGGCTGGTGTCTTAAGTCCTACAGCCACTTCCCCCCCCTGCCTACAGCAAAAAAAGGGGCCTTACAGGTAGGGGTACTTTTTCTTGGAATATCATGTAAAGACTACTTTTGTTTGGGTGCCGGAGGGGTGGGGCAGGGTTCTAAACATCTGGGTTCCAGTTGCCCTCCCATTAGTTGTGGAGCCGATTCTCGAGGCGGTTGAGGGTGTTAGGGTTGAAGGGTTCAGGCTTTAGGGGTTTAGACTAAAGTTTAGGGCTCTAGGGTTGGGTTTTTAGGGTTTACGTAGGATTCTTCATCAGCAGAAGTCCCGGCTCAGTAGTCAACCTTGCTAAGAAATAATTACTGATGAGCCTTGTCTGCTTAACGCCCGAAGCAGACTCTAAGCAGACCGCCTGCCTGTACTCGGAAGGCCCTCAAAGCCCTCTGAACGAGTATTCCTGAGGATGATCCTTTTAAACTCAATGAGGGAAAATGTGAAATATCCTAAGGGCCTACCTAGTGTATGTTTAGCCTTAGGACCCTCTCCACTCTCCCACAGAGATGCAGGAGCTCGACTTCCTGCGGGTCTTGGCTTCGTGCGATACCATGCTATGGGGAGGGCATCTTCATGTGCGAAGCACTGTTTGGGCGGCCCTAAACCGCAAACCCCAAACCCCAAACCCTAAACCCTAAACCCTAAAGCAGCACAAGAGGGCTCCAAGGAAGTCCATCTCAGCCGGAGAGTCGGGCCTGTGCCTTGGAGGTGCTCAGGTCCTTGGCCAGTACAGGGTTTCGCGTTTATCTATGAAGGGTGAAGGGTTTAGGGTTTAGGGTTTAGGGTTTCCTTAACATGGGCCCTTAAAAGGGGACCCCTGATATACCCTACACAAAGTAAGGGTTCATACATCAGAACCCTGGGACCATTTTAAGGGCCCATGTAACTGCCGTTAGAGTTTACTACAGGGGTCGGAACAATTACTAATGGTATTCCCTTATTGTCCCTATATAGGTATCTTATACTAAGCCCTCAACATCCCAGTCTAATCATTAAGGAGTGGTTTATTGGGAAGACAAAGGCCCTTTTCGGAGATTGCCTCACGGGTAAAACCCAGAGGGGTTAGGGCTTAGGGCCTAAACCCTAAATCCTAAACCCTAAACCCTAAACCTTAAACCCTAATCCCTAAACCCTAAACCCTGAACCCTAAACGATTTTGTTCCCAATTGTTTCTCGGAGCGGCTCCCACGACCGTCGAAAAGTGGGTCGTGTTCGCCTGCGCTTTCTGCAGTGCCTACTGTAGGGACCTGAATAATTAGAATCGGGTTTTGGGGGTCATTATACAATATTTTTAAAGGGATCATAAGGGAGAATACTATTAGTAATTGTTCCGACCCCTCTTTTACTGGAGCGTTAACCGCTAACATGCCACTGGGAGTCGGCCCATGAGGTTCAGGGTTTAGGGTTTAGGGTTGGGTTTACCGAGTTCATGCTCAATCAGAAAGCACCCTGGATGCAGCCAACAGAAGCCCAAAATGCTTTCAGGAGCTCTCCAGCGAGACTGCGATGCTACGGGCGGGGCAGGAGTTACAGGGAGCCTTCTGGTAAGGCCTCCCTACCTGGGTACACTTTCACCGACTCTGAACCCTAAACTCTCAAACCCCTAAACCCTAAACCCTAAACCCCAAACCCTAAACCCTAAACCCTAAACCCTAAACCCTAAACCCTAAACCCGGGGACTCAAGACTCGGACCCAGGAGGCCTGCGACCCCCCGGAGGGGTGAATCAAGTAGTGCAGGTGCCAGTGGAAGATGGAGAAGCCGAAGAAGATAAACGTGAACATGCCTCAGAGGGTCTTTTTTGTTGGGGTGTTAAGGGCATTAAGGGTATTTAGGGTGTTTTTAGGGTGTTTTAGGGTATTCTTAGGGTGTTTTTAGGGTGTTTTTAGGGGATTCAGGGTATTAAGGGTATTTAGAGCCTAGGGTATTAAGGGTATGGGTAAACGTGAACATGCCTCAGTGGGCCTTATTTCGGGTATTCAGGGTATTGTATAAGGGTTTTTAGGGGATTCAGAGTATGGAGGGTATTTAGGGTATCAAGGATATGTAGGCTATCTAGGGTAACTGGCGTCTTTAGGGTTGCAAAATCGAAAGGCAAGCAAATGAGGAAGGCAAGCAGCAGAGCTGGACAGCTGTATCTTGAAAGCAAGAGGTCTTCTTCTGCTCGTGACATTCCACCCCTCCTCTTGCAGACTATTCCAGCTGCCAGTCAAGAGAAGGCTATACAAGAACCTCATGCGAGTAGCATGCGCCCCAGGAACCCCTCAAACACCCGCAAGAAACTCTATTTCGAAGGTAGCAGCCCGTGCAGTGCTAAATTTCATCCTTTCCTGCAAGGCAGCTTCCACCAGGCTGTCCTACTAACCCTTATGGGGGTTTACGACAAAAAGGGACCCTCAATAGAGACCCCCAAATAGTGGGATTCCCTTGTAATAAGGACGCCAATAAGGTACCCCTAAGTCGGAAACCCCCTTACCCCAAAAGACCCTCAACCTAGCTTCCAGCGCCTGCCAAGAAGATCCAGCGCAGAAGGAGGGCCACCGCGCGCACCTTCATAAATCTTGGCAGCCCAGTAACCATATTGTAACAAGGGCACCCCTTTTTGGGGTTGGTGATTTTGTAAAGGAACCCATAACCAAAAAAAAGTAAAGGCTACCACTGGGCTACCAAGAAATACAATCTCATGCAGGCGCGGTATCAAATTTCATCATCGTCACAATGAGACATCCGTGCCCGACAGAAACAGCAAGAGTTTTCAAGCGCATCCGCCTACTATAGGGGCCTTCATAGTTAGAATGGGGTTTTGGGGGTCATTAAAGTATTTTTACAAAGGGACCATAAGGGAATACGATTAGTAATTATTCTGACCCCTATATTACAACCCGATTGCTGCCATCTCGTGAAACCATGCCTCGCCAGTGGTAGGATCGCGCACGGCAAGCATGTCCTGCCAAAGGGCTGTAATGTGTAAGAAATATACTTCAGCCAATGCAAATGCCAAAGCTCTATGACTGTGAGCAACGGAAATTGTGAACCAAGGCCAATATTAGGTTGATCTGAACTGCAGCGGGTCACGGCCATGTCCCACTTAGAACAAAGCAAGAGATCTGCAGCCCTGGAAGAGGCGAAGAAAAACCTCAAGTGCTAAAGTCTACTCAAACCATATTTGCCAAGCCGACTCCAAGACCCCTAAACCCTAAGCCCTAAACCCTAAATCCTCAACCCTGAATCCCAAACCCTAAACCCTAAAACCTAACACCCAAACCGCAATCTGGCCTTCATGTCTCGGCATAGGTCCCACTCGATCATGGGCTGCTGCTTCTGGGCGCCAGCGGAGGCTTCAAAGGATCCGCAAGTGTTTAGGGTTTAGGGACCCACAGTGATAGGGTTTAGGACCGCAAACCCTAAATCCTAAACCCTAAACCCTAAACCCTAAACCCTAAATCCTAAACCCTAAACCCTAAACCCTAAACCCTAAACTCCTAAACTCTAAACCCTAAACCCTAAACCTTACACACCCTTAAAGCATCCCGGAAGATACAGCGCTTTGGGGTCATAGCTTCTTCTCATGGTTGTGTTCCGATGGTGTCGGGCTGCAGACTCGAGGATCCTGGGTGTACGGTTTAGGGTTTAAGGCGGGGACTTTAGGGCGGGTTTTGGGGTTTAGGGTTTAGGGTTTAGGATTTTGTTTAAGTGGGCTTCTTGTCTACTCTAGGCCTCCACAGGAGGGTTTGAGCTTCCCATAGCTGCATGAGCTGAGGTTATTTCGGAGACCGTTGCAGAAGGATGGTCGGTGCGTAGTAGCATGCCCAAAACCCTAAACCCTAAACCCTAAACCATGCTTCTGTTTGCCTCCCGATCTGCACAGCCTCAGGCCCTGTGCAGCCAGTGCATACAAAAAGCCCAAAACCCTGTTTTTAGAGAAGGCATGGGTCTTCATGGGTTCCACTACTACCCCCCCCTCTATACTGTCCCTCCTAGGTCTTCCCCAGCCTCGGCAGCTCTTTTCCACTCTTTGCACTATGTACCCATGTTCTTCCACCCTGTCTTTGGAGTCCTGAGATCTTCAGCGACCCCACCCCCCCTCTAGCCGTCGAAGCCTGAAGTCAGAACTCCTCCCTTCCCGAGGGGAGCGCTGACTCGGAGGAGTGCGTCGCCCCCACAGGGCCACTCGTACTCCTTCAGAGGCTCACGACTTAGGGTTTAGGGTTTAGGGTTTAGGGTTTAGGGTTTAGGGTTTAGATTCGTATACTGTGCTTTAACACCGAAGCATCTCATCTGCAGCTCGGCGTGCTGGTCACGTGGTCAGCTTCTTGGATGTCTTTTTTGAAAAGCTCTCCCTTTTTTGGGGCACAGTACCTGCAATATGCCGGGCTATGTTACAGGGGGCCCTGCACGCAAAGTGATCACGTGAGCCTGGGATACTATCTTTGTGGGTTTAGGGCTAGGCATGCTCAATCACTAGGCCACTCAACCCTAGCCCTAAACCCTAAACCCTAAACCCCAAACCCTAAACCTTAAACCCTAAACCCTCAACCCTCAACCCTCAACCATCAACCCTCAACCCTAAACCCTAGCCCTAAACCCTAAACCCTAAGCCCTCGGCACCTGTCTTGCTCACGGGCCGAGGGCATCTCGATCGGCCGCCCTTCCTCGTCGGCCTCCTGCATGGCCAAACGGTTTGGGCTGCACTGGGGCTACTAGTATGATTGGGGTTTCGGGTTTAGGGTTAAGGGTTTAGGATTTGGGTTTAGGGTTTAGCGTTCAGGGTTTAGGGTTTGCGGTTCAGGGGTTTAGGGTTAAGGGTTTAGGGTTATAGGTTGGGATGTTCCCCCTTACACTAACAGTTCTTGACCGGGATTATTACCTGGGGTACTACAATCCCCATTAAGGACTGCTAGTATCCCAAATTGTGATATTCAGCTAGAGGTTTAGGGTTTAGTTATTATTACTGCAAAATACAAATATAGCAATACAATCATGTCATAGTAGAATCATGCAATCATATAAGAGGATTGTATACTAGCAAAGTAATCTAATGATGTATTTCCACGAAAGTACAACAATGCAATAAGACGGCAATATAATAATATAATCATCGAAGCATAAAACCATAAACTAATGAAACCAGCTCAACAGTAAAAGTATTTTCAAATATAATATTGACATGATAGTGAAAGTAAGATCACACAAGCATGGAATCAGTGAGCCATATAGTGACATCTTATGATAAACGGTATTGCTATAACAGAATAGCAGGAAAACATCGAACAACGTAATAGTATAATGCGATATTCATGTATTGTAGTATACAGTACTAGTAAATATCCTAACCATACAAGAATACAAGAATAGACTATAATACAATACAACAAAAGAGAAAAATGATATAATGAGAGAAGAAATGAAAATGTCATTATAACAGTGTATCTACTGATACCACCATATACTCTCCTAACCATATAACCATATAACAATGCATTGGTAGAATAATATGCAGATGCAAGAATATACTCATGCAATTACATAATCACATAAACTACAGCAACAGATTGAAAAAAAAACGAGTCATAGAATCATGTAGTAATCTTGTAGTAGAATCAGAGTATATTATGATAAAAAAAACACGAATATAACATATAAGAATAATCTACTATAAGAACTTGGTAGCCCAGCAACCATATTATCATAAGGGCACCCTTTTTGGGGCTTGGCTACTTTACAAGGGAACCTTCAGTCCAGAAAAGTGGGAAAAGGGTACCACTGGGCTACCAAAAGAATGAGATACTAGAATAATCTATTAATATATTCGTAAAATCATAGAGTCATCAGTAGTTGAATGAGAATGTATTGTGATAAGATACTGATGTAACAGAAAAGAACAATCTACTGTACAGAATGAGATCATAGACCACTAGTTCATGGCTGGGATAGTATGAGAAACTTGAAGATCTATTCCTTATTGAGTTTAAGCACGCTTAAACATGTAAAATGTTACCCCATGATGACAAAGACTTATGATCATATACTAATATAACATAGAAGAATGATATAAATAAAAAATTCTGATAATGGGATATATATATATATATACTACTTCTGTGCTCTAGGCCGACGGGGGATTCAGGATTCCGGTCTCCAGCTCGAGATCAGCACTGAAGAAGGTTGCGGGTCAGGGGCTGTTTAGGGTTTAGGGTTTAGGGGTTTAGGGGTTTAGGGTTTAGGGTTTAGGGGTTAGGGTTTAGGGCTGCGCCTCGATGTGCCCCGTGAGGAGGTTCACGTCGTTCTGGTTCCCCTTCTCGCCGACCTTGGCCGACGTCCCTTAAGCTTAAAGCCCTAAGCTTAGGGTTTAGGGTTTAGGGGGGGTTTTAAATTAATAAACTTGAAACAACACACACACACATACCCGAAGGGTCTAAGTACTAATGTGGTGGATACTTTGGGCCTCAAAATACAGTACTTAGACTCTTCGGGATACACAAATCCGCTGCACAGAAGCCGGCATGGTGTGAGGGAGACCACATCTCCAAGCCTCTTCTTTTCGGCTCCATACGCTTACGGACTCGGGAGTGCCTGCAAACTTCATTACCCGAAGCCTGTACAATCTCCTGACGTGCCATCGCAGGTCTTGGAGGGTTTTGGAGGCCACCAAGAGAGCCCTTTTTTTGTCTCCCGTAAGTAAGGGGCATGCCTTAAGTCGAGGGTTTAGGGTTTAAGGTTTAGGGTATGGAAGGTATATTCCTTACTCAAGGGCTCCTTGGGTAATCCCGGCTAAAGGGGCCTCGAACCTCACGGGGATCGACGCTTCTTGGTCGAATCGGGCGCAAGGCCGAAGACATGTGTTGCGAAGCCCTCCAGGCTTTGCTCCCACCCATTGGACTGACCAAGGGGATAGGATCGGAATTCAGAAATTCCAGCTCAGTTTGCCAAGACGAAAAGGGAGCCTTCGTGCTCCATCTGGCGGATGCAATCCAGATCACTGGCCAACACGGTCGGGTCGGAGTGCACCAAGACACACATCCCCACGAGGCTGAAGAGATCGATGGTCTTCTCCACGCGATGGCCTGCATGAAGATTCTCCTCCAGAAACACCACAGACTGGAGCTCTCGAACCTTCTGAAACTGCGTGGCTTCTACCTGGCCCTCATGGTAGGAGATCAGCATGGACACCTGTCCTGATGCCAGAAACGGAGGTGGCACGTCAGGAAGGCGCTCGAAGGCCTCAGCATTCAGGAAGGCATCCACGCACGCATCGACCTGCGTGTAGCCTGTCATGGCTCGCGCCAAGGGCATCCAGGAACCCGCAGCTCCATGGCAACGGCTGTTCACTTCCACCAAGCAGGGCCCCGTCTCAGTCATCATCACCTCCGTGTGAGTGGCGCCATCGGTGATGCGCAACGCGTCCAGGCAACCCCGGGTGTAGGCAATGAGTTCCTGGGCCACGGGGCTGTCAGGCAACACGCATTGCTGCCCGAAGCACACGAAGCCAGCACCATTGGCAGGACGGCGATCATAGACCCAGACCATGGTGGTTTTGTGCACGCCGTCGCGGGACACATGATCCACGATGTACTCCGTGCCCTTGAGGTACTCCTGCAGTAGCACAGCTGCCCCCTGGGCGCCGCACTTGCGCTGGGAGGTCATGAGCAGCTGAAAGTGCTCCTCCACCTCTGCCAGGCTGTGGCACAGCTTCACCCCATCAGATCCTGCAGACTCCACAGGCTTCACAATCATTGGCAGCACCTCCATCTCCGCAAAATCCTTCACCTCCTCCCAGGCCCTGCCGCACACAGAGCGCACGGAACGCAAGCCAAAGGCCTTCACTGCATCCTGCTGTACCTGCTTGTCGCGGCGGTTCGCCATGCCGCCTTTCGTGGTGTTGCCCCGGAGCCCCATGTGCTCCGACAAAGCATCTGCCAGCTTTACGCCTGTCTCTCCGCCGCAGATCAACGCCAGCGGTTCGCTGCAGTTCGCCGCCTTGCGCAGCGCGCCGGCGGTGAGGGCCAAGGTGTCTTGCTCGTCCACCTCTGCCAGGAACTTTTCGGGAAAGCCCTCGGCCGCCTTGGGCAGGTGCCCACGGTTCTCACCACACTCCTTGGTCCAGAGGGCAATGACCGTGTAGCCTCGCAGATCAAGCTCGGGCGCCAGCATGGCTCCAGTGGAGTAAGGGTCGACCAGCACCACGCAGCGAGGCGCCATAGACTCCATCGTGTTGCCCCGGCACATGGCTGCAGGAAAGTCGAAGACGGTCGAAGATCGGATGAGTGACAATACTCGCTTGAGCAGGCTTTTCTGAAGGAGTGGGCATGCCAGGTTCCGTAAACCCTAAACCCTAAACCCTAAACCCTAAACCCTAAACCCTAAACCCTAAGCCCTAAGCCCTAAGCCCTAAGCCCTAAACCCTAAACCGCCCCAAACCCCTAAACCCTAGACCCCTAATCGCTAAACCCTTGAAGCACACAGAGGTGCGTCACAAGCTCGGGAGACTGCCTTCGCACCTTTCCCTCCCTCGACTCTCGCCTCGCCATGTCCTGCAGCCCCCAAAAAAACGACATCCCCTGTTCCCTACCCACAGGGTTTAGGGTTTAGGGTTCAGGGCCCCCCCAAGATACCTATGACCCATATTTTTTATGAAATATACACAACCTTATGCTTAACATTCGGGCATTCATAACGGTCTTAATTTGAAGGAATAGAGTAACCCCCGCGGAGCCCTAGAGTTGGGCCCCTGGCGTCCTGCGCGCTGTCTGCCAACCAGCGGCCCTCCAGCATCCTGTGCAGGGCACTGCAAGGGTTTAGGGTTTAGGGTTTAGGGTTTAGGGTTTAGGGTTTAGGGTTTAGGGTTTAGGGTTACTCCAATTCTTGTGGGAGGGGGCGGTCCCTCAACACCTAGCAAAAACGCGCCGAGCGGCCCCATGATGAAGCGGGCGTCTTCCCGCGCCTTCAGGGCAGAGGGCAAAGGCGAGCTTTGCCGGTGGGGCTATACCCGACGTCTTTAATGTCCTTTCGGCCTTTTTGGCATGTTGGCATCCTGAAACTCAAGGCCGCAGAGTTTAGGGTTTGGGATGGAGCTTCGTGGGCCTCCTGGTGATAGGTCTGCGTGCGGGCGACGGTGTCTAGCCAGGCATGCATGGCGAAGAGGAGCGGCACGGAGAGGAACATGCCTGGTTTTTGTCATCCCTAAACCCTAAACCCCTAAACCCCTAAACCCAAAACCCAAAACCCTAAACCCTAAACCCTACAGGGGACCAAGGCTGAAGGTGAACCCTAAGCCCACGAACCCTAGGTGGCCTGTGAAGCCCCAGATGTAGCCGAAGAAAGACAGCCCGAGGAGCACCACAACGCTGTGAATCTCCTGAAGCGGGTTTAGGGTTTAGGGTTTAGGGTTTAGGGTTTAGGGTTTAGGGTTTAGGGTTTCGGGCTTAGGGTTTAGGGTTTAGGGTTTAGGGCTTCGGGTTTAGGGTTTAGGGTTTATGGTTTAGGGTTTAGGGCTTACCAAATTTCTGGCTCTTCATAGGGCGCACCCCTGTATCCACCTATATAACTTGGGATGCTCGCCCTTGCGCTGACAGTCCTTTATAGGGATTATACTAGGGGGCACTTTAATCCCTATGAAAGACGGCTAGTATCAGGGCGAACATCGCAATATATAACCCTTGAAGGGAATATCTATCTTAAACATCCCTTCAAGGGTTCCGTAGGGTTTAGGGTTTCGGGTGGGCCTCCTTACCTACTACGAACCAGCGTGTTAAGGAGAGACCGGGATCCACAAAGCTCGGTTGCCTGGGAACCCAGGAATTGCGGGACAAAGGGTGGGGGGGGGGGGGGGGGGGGGGGGGTAGCGTTTAGGGGTTAGCTTCTAATTCAGGATCCTAGAAAGGTGGCCCTAAACCCTAAACCCTAAACCCTAAACCCTAAACCCTAAACCCTAAACCCTAAACCCTAAACCCTAAACCCTAAACCCTAAACCCTAAACCCTAAACCCTAAACCCCCTTTCAAGCCCAGGGCATGACTTAGCTTCCTGTAATCTGGATCACACCCCAAGGGGCACAATGTGCATCGTTTCGGTGGACAACCCTAAGCCCGGGCCCGAAACCCTACTATAGGGGCAGGGTTTAGGGTTTAGGGTTTAGGGTTTAGGGTTTAGGGTTTAGGGTTTAGGGTTTAGGGTTTAGGGTTTAGGGTTTAGGGTTAGGGTTTAGGGTTTAGGGTTTAGGGTTTAGGGTTTAGGGTTTAGGGTTTAGGGTTTAGGGTTTAGGGTTTAGGGTTTAGGGTTTAGGGTTTAGGGTTTAGGGTTTAGGGTGTAGGGTGTAGGGTGTAGGGTGTAGGGTGTAGGGTGTAGGAATAATAAGAATTAGAATAGGGCTTGGGGGGTTTTTTTGTAGTATACTTCTAAAGGGACCCTGAGGTATACTATTTGCAATTTTTCCGACCCGAAAAATTACTTGCCTTTGTTGTGATGTCCTCAGAAGGTTTTAGGAACATTCGGCTCGTCGCTCATTTGGGCGCTCGTTGTAGATCGGTCATTTTGCTTGCGTGCTTCCCTTTCTGCTCTCGGGCTTGTCTCTGCTTGTCTAAGCCCCAAGCCCTAAACCCTAAACCCTAATCTACGCTGGTCCCCATGATGCTGGCCAGTTTGGGTGCCAGCTCTGGGTCAAAGCAGATTGTCCTTTCGCGCAGAGCCATACTGGAGAGGCAGTGCAGTTCTGTCCTTCGCAAGCCTCCATCCTTGTCGCTGAGCCTAGACTCCTGGTTGTCTTGCTTGATTTAGGAAGCATGGCCATGGCGTGTGTAGTGGGGCATGGCCCTACTGCTGCAGCTGGACCAGAAATAGTCCCGGCGTGGTGGAACAGGCTGGACAGCTGTCTGCGAATGATACCACGCAAATTCCGGCCTTTCCTTTTCCTGGACGGCAACGCCAGGTTCCAACAAGGGCCAGCGGGCGGTGATACACTTGCTGCGCAACCTCAGAATCTGCCTGCAACGATGCTGAGGGAGACTGCCCTTCGACATTCTTTTGGCTGCAGTGCTCAAGTCGATGAGTGCTCTAGACCGGTAGTGTCTTGGGTCGGTGGTAAAGGCAAAACAGGGTGCATTGACTACCTGCTTGTGCCGGACAGCTTAAGAAACGGCTTTAAGACTGAGGGCAGTTGGGGCGACTTCCCCACTATCCACGGGCCTGATCACGTGCCAGTTGTTGCACGTGTTCAATGGACAGATGCAGCTTTGCCTACCTGTAGCCCTATGTCCATTGACAGAGCTGCAATGCTCACCCCCCATGGCAGAGAAGAAGTCGTCAGAATCATGCAGTCAGCGCCTTGCTTGCCATGGACTGCTCACGCCGACGACTATCTCCATGAACTTAACTCATACCTTGGCACGCAGCTAGCCGCCTCTTTCCCACTTCACAGGCAGCGACCCCGACAGCCAAGCATTTCTGACCACACTTGGCGCTGGATCAGACACCGACGGGCACTGCGGCGCCAGTTGCACCGCATTCGAAGCACGCAAAATCTTCAAAGACTTCGTAGGTGCTTCCAAAGCTGGCGTAGGAACAGAACTGAACGCGACCATGCAGAGAGGTGGAGCCTTCTGCAAGCAAGAGTCGGCCAGATGATACGCGCAGCCACTTCCCAGATTCGCGTGCAGATGCGCAGAGACACGGCTGCGCACGTCCGGGCCGCTTTCGCCGAGGCGCGCGCAGACGGCCCCGAAGCTGTCGCTCGCTTGCTCCGCAACACCTTGCGTGCGGGTCGATCCTATAGGCCGTTGAGGGTCGCGCCTGCGCTTGAAGTTGATGGGCAGGTTGTCGCAGGCCAAACAGCTGTCGAAAGAACTTTCGCAGAATACTTCGCGGTTGCTGAAAAGGCGCAGGAGAGCACCAGAGCTGAGCTAGATGCGCTGCCCAGCGCGGCCCTTGGGCCTGTCGACGCCGACAACACTCCGAGCTTGATGCAACTTGCGGGACGTTTCGCAATGATGAAGCGCAACAAAGCCGCTGGGATTTCCAAGATCCCGGCGGAGGCCTTCCGCGCCGCCCCCCATACATGCAGCAGCGCTTCACTTCCCCTTGCTACTGCGCATGGCTGTTGGACGAGAAGCACCTTTCTTGTGGAGCGGCGGGTTGAGTATCCCGCTGCCGAAGCCAGCTAAGCCACTCAAAGAGCTAAGTGGGTGGCGCAGCGTGATGTTACATGAGCCTGTAAAGCAGTAGGACAGGCCTTCAGGCCCTTGCTTGTCCGACATTTCCTTCAGCTGGCATCCGAGGCCCAGTGTGGGTCCCAGCGTGGTGTGCCCCTTGCGCTTCCAATGGTGCACATACGTGCTCACCTGCAGCACCTTCAGGCCAAAGGCAAGTCCGGCGCCATCCTCTTCATTGATTCCAAAGATGCATACTACAGCATCATTAGGAATTTTTTGTTCAAGGATGGGGCGCTTCGTTCTCAAGCCAGTCTTGCAGACATGATACAGCGCGTTCACCCCTGTCCGGACAAACAGCGCGCGCTTGCTGCAGCACTAGTTGGCCCAGGACTGCTTGCCGATGCGCCGCCCGCGCTGGTCAACTATGTGAAAGGCACCCTCACCAATGCATGGTTCACCACTGCCGCCGATGCCAGCATTCTAATGTCTACTGCCACAGGTACCTCTCCTGGCGCCCCTCTGGCAGATGCCCTCTTTCAAGTAATTTTCACTACAGTGCTGGATGGCCTTCGAAGTCGGCTGAGCAACGCGGGACTCGACGTGCTCGCTGATGATGGGTCTAGCGCGCCACATCCGACATGGGCTGATGATGTGGCCGTGCCGCTCCTCAGTGACAGGGCAGATGCAGTACCAAGCGCTGTCCAGCAAACCGCCATGACTGCGCACGAAGAAATGAGCAAGGTTGGCGTCAGAGGCGATGCTCATACTACAGGGGCCAGGGTCTCGACGGCTCCGACAGCGCCTTCTCAGCCCCGAGAAGCCCTTTCTGCCTGTTATCCTACAGAATGGAGTGCAGGTTCAACTGGCGCTGACGCAGTCTTATGTGCACTTAGGAGGCTTAGTGACGGATGATGGCAAGTACATGCAGGACATCGATCGCAGACACGCGCTCGCCGCTGCAAATTTCAATGCCTTCAGAAGGGCCATTCTTTACAACTCCGCCTTGACAGTGATCGAAAAAGGGCAGCTGTTCCATTGCTTGGTGCTGACAAGGTACATGCATGGCATGGGACAGTGGATCCTCGACAAGTGCGCGATGGCTCGCCTTAGGTCCCATGTGTATGGGTGGTACCGGAAGATGACGCGACCGCTTACAGGGTTCTCCTCTCGAGGCTTGACTGATGCGGAGGTCTGCGCCCTTACCGGACTCTTCCCGGTAGAGGTCCATGTGACGGCGGCCAGAGCCATGCAGCTGCACACGATCGCGACGCAGGGACCGGGCTACCTGTGGTCGATCCTACAAGCGGCCCCGGAGTGGCTAGACGCTGCCCTCAATGCGCTCCGTGAGGCTGCCCATGAGACTGAGGCCGGCATAGAGGTGCCGCAGGCAAGAGCAGAAGCGCTACACTTTCTGCGTGGACACCTGACGTGGCTTCGACGTTTGCCTGCTGCGCTGAAGCGGCAAGCTGGCCGAAAACAAGCTGAGGCGCGCGACAGCCTTGTTCGCAAGGCGAGAGACCTGTGTCGCTTGCACGATGAAGGCGGTGGGATCTTCAGCCTGCCGGCTGCTTCAGGCCACTCTGGCTTCCAATGTGTCGTTTGTGGTGGTCTTTTCTCCACGCGCGCTGCGTTGTGCTCTCACCTCTCCCGAAGACATATGCATGCGAGCTCCACAGCTCACATTGCAGGTACGCGATGCGCAGTGTGTTCCATGGAGTTCTGGACCACGCCCAGGCTTCGCCTCCATTTGAGAAAAGCCCCCAAATGCCTCACAGCACACATTGAGGCTGATCTGAGCTTTCTGAGTACAGAGCATAAATGTGAGATCAGCTTGAGCCGCAAGCCTGCCGTGCGCACGCCCGGCCCCACGCCCTTCTGGGCCTGCATGCGACCAGCTGCGACACCGCAGGAGATGCCTAGGCCGCTGGATCCACTGGTTTTTGTTTGGAGTGTTGCTGTAAGACATGCTAACGACTCCACGACATGCCTCAAGGAAATTGTAGAGTTCCTCCTGTTGCTTCCTGAAACGGTTCCCGCGCAGGAAATTCTTGAAGCATGCCCACTAACTGTTTTGTTGAATCCCACGACGGCTGAGAAATTGGCCAGCCTCGTGCAGCTTGGTACCCACATCGTGGCATGGCGCCGGAGAGGTGGCAATGCACACTTTCGTGAGGGACCATTTCAGGTAACGTGCCAAGGCGACAGGGTGATGGTGACCATCGCCTAGTCGTGTGGAGCTGAGCGCGTCCATCGGACTCAAGCAGCAGAGCCACAAACCCTAAACCCCAAACCCTCAACCCTAAGCCCTCAACGCAAGTTCAAGGTTTAAGGTCGGATGTGTTGGCATTTCTTTTGCTGGAGCTGCTCGCTCTCCATGTCACATTGACATTGGGCTGTGGTGAAGGGCTTGATTTAAGCCGCTGTCACCATGGCACCTAGCTCCCCGCCACCTCAGGCTAGCTGGTTCTTAGCAGGGAACGAGGGAATGAGGGAATGAGCTACCCTATATTTCCCTTTCTATACCCTTTGAGGGATTCTAGACCCTAAACCCTAAACCCTAAACCCTAAACCCTAAACCCTAAACCCTAAACCCTAAACCCTAAACCCTGACCCTAAACCTCATTCCCCCATTCCCTACGAAGGACCAGGGGGTAGGAGCTCACGGATAAATTTCGCGCCGTCCCGAATCCGAAAGAAGCTGAGGACCCAGGAGCCGAGGGAGGGAATCCTAAACCTGGAGAGTTTGAATTTAGGGGTGGGTTTAGGGTTTAGGGTTTAGGGTTTAGGGTGTAGGGCTTAGGGCTTAGGGTTTAGGGTTTAGGGTGTAGGGTTTAGGGTTTAGGGTTTAGGGTCTAGGGTCTAGGGTTTAGGGTTTAGGGTTTAGGGGTTTAGGGGTTTCGGGTATAGCTACAGCCCCAACCCTAAACTTGCAAGCGTTAAACGGCCGAGTGCCCGGGCCAGTTTATGGAGAAGGCCCCAATTCAGAGGAATTCTCCCGAGTGGGCATAGGGCTTCGTAGCCTCTGGTTTAGGGTTTAGGGTTTAGGGTTTGGGGTTTAGGGCTTTGTGGCCTCTAGGGCGTGCGGATAGAGCATGGCTGAGGATGCGACTGAACCCTGAGCCCAAACTCTAAACCTGTTCAGTAGCCCTAAACCCCAAACCCTAAACCCTAAGCCCTAAACCCTAAACCCTAATCCTAAACCCTAAAGCCTAAAGCCTAAATCCCTAATCTCGTGCCGAAGCACCCGAAACCTTGGTCGAGAAGGAGTAGAGTGAACAGCGCAAAATAAAGAACGACCCCCTGCAAAGCTAGCTACAACGATGCTGATTGCTTGTCATTCTTTTGGGGTCCCTTAGCAACTCCTAGTAGTGCTCTTGGGCAGAAATAGCTTCAAGTTTCTTGGACAAAAGAAGCTTGGAGCACTCCTTTAGCCTTTCCTTTGGCGCGTAGAAGAGCCTGTAACTTTTAGGGGGCAACCCTAAACCCTAAACCCTAAACCCTAAACCCTAAACCCTAAACCCTAAACGCAAAACGCAAAATGAGCAGCATGCCCACATCTCTACAGATCTGGCCGCGGGTGAATCTCCTTCAGCCACGCTGCGATGCAGTCTGAGGTGCCAGGATCTGCTTGTGGCGTGAATGTGAAAAACATTATTGGACTTGTCTAGGTTTAGGGTTTAGAGTTTAGGGTTTAGGGTTTAGGGGTTCGGGGTTTAGGGTTTGGGGTTTAAGGGGGCTCCCGATTTCGTGCTTTTTTGCACGATTTTGCTGGGTAGCTTGGGGGGGGGGTTGGGGGGGGGGGATAAGAACGTCATTCATATTGCGCCCATGCCCCAAACACTAGTATTTGCAGCGATTTCGCCTCTTTGTACAACATTCTGCGCAAGGATGTGAAACAAGAAGATCTGTCACAAGCGTCCATGCCTTTCGCGACCGAGCCCAAAAACAGTGGTGTTTACAGCATTTTTCGCCCAAAACACTGGTATTTACAGCGTTTTCGCCTCCTCGCACAACATACTGCGCAAGGAGGTGGAACAAGAAAATCTGTCACAAGCGTCCATGCCTTTCACGACCGTGCCCAAAACACTGGTATTTACAGCACTTTATCGAAAAGACACTTACTGTTTGTGTACAGGTTGCGAGTCTTTCGGGTTCACAGTGTCTAAGAGAGAAGAAAACCTCACCTCGATAAAGAAAAAATCCTGTTGAAAACCAACTGATGTATCAATAAAAATGAATAGCTTTGGCTCTTGCAGAAAACCTGAAATTTTCCTAAAATCGTACAAGAACCTAGGAAGTAAGCACATTCACACCCACCCTTGAAAGTAGCAAGGCGCCTCGTGCGCATGTTACCTAGTTAACCCCTAAATTTCCCTGAGCTCAACATGGGACCTTTCTAGGAACCGACCCCTAAACCCAGTATATGAATCCATTACTTGGAGGTTCAGGATACTTATTCTCCCAATACTAACTGTACTTATAACCCAATCATACTGATATAGAGCAGGATTTATATTATACTTTTTGGTGAGTGTATATGAGGTTCCTCTTTAATGTTGGTGAGTGTACATACTGGGTGTCCTTTTGGGGGTACAAGAAACATGTGCCCTACTTCATATAAAGGCACTTAAGGGGCTGAAAAGTGGGTTATAAGTACAGTTATAATTGGTTAATATGTACCATGAACCTCCAAGTAGGACCCTAAACCCTAAACCCTAAACCCGAAACCCGAAACCCTGAACCCTAAACCCGAAGCCTTGGGAAGCAAGACCCCTGGCTCTCAGCATGCAGTTTACCGCAGCTTCAGTTCGCAGTGCCAGGTTGTGTCCACCCCACCACGGCAGAAAAAAGGCGCTTAGCAAGCTTTTATGGCCTTCAGGGTGTATTCTAGGGTTTAGGGTTTAGGGTTTTGGGTATAGGGTTTAGGGTTTAGGGTTGAGCGTCAGGCCTTCTTACGAAGTCCGAAAAGCGCCCGGGCTTGTGCCGTGAGATGGACACCTCTTTGCCACAGC